ACTGGTATACCTTGTACATGTACTGGTATACCTTGTACATGTACTGGTAGAAATAAAGACATTATTAAGTGTGTGTTGCACATATCTGGAGATATTCATCCTCCAGGATCAATAACAGAAACACTGAACCACTAACTAGGATCTCGTACAGTTACCAGAGATTTGGAAGTTTAGTTTAATATGTTTATTATGTGCCCCATACCCATCCTGTGGGCGGTAGTCAAAAGATTACAGAGGTACATAATTGGTCCAGGGACTGGACTCCAAAGTGAAGACATGAAAGAACTACAAACCAGTTTGTGTGACGTGGAGTCTTGCAAGGTGACGGAGAAGATTATCCGAGGGAGAAGAAATGTGGTTTTTTTAAATAATAACAAGCATGGGTTCACAGATGGCAAATCTTGTCTTACTAACCTGTTTGAGTTCTGCGAGAAAGTAACAGATGTGAGACAAGAGAAAGAGAGAGAGAGAGAGAGAGAGAGATGGATTGAATTTCTTTGTGAAAAGGCATTTAATACTACCGTACAAGAGGTTGGAGCCAAAACTCGATATTCATGCATAAGCTGGTGGCTCAGATATTACCTTAGAGAAAGAAAAGAATGAATGCCGGGAACGAGACGACAGAATGGGGAGAGAGTAACAAGTGGAGTCCCACAAAGATCAGTATTGTTTCTGGTTTATGTGAAGGATAATCAGGATGGGATTGATGAGGTATATCCTTCTTTGCTGATGTAAAATTAATGATGAGAATAATAACGGGTGAGGGTCGGGATAGACATTAAATGGATCTGGACAGACTCTAACAATAGTTAGGTAAGTAGTTGTTTAAATTCAGTCCCAGTAAATGTAACATTATGAAGATTGGGGAAGGAGCAAGAAGACCGGACATGGGGAATAGACTAGGGGTACAGAGGCTGCAGACTTCACTCAGAGAAGGGCCAGGGGGTGAGTATAGTGCCCAATATATCACCAGAGGCTAATATCAACCGAATAATCTCCACTGCCAGTGTTCGCCTGGCAGATCACAGAGTAACCTTCAAGAATCTTAACAAAGACTAATTTTTGGTACTTTATACAACAAATATTAGGTCTGTCCTGGAGTATGCAGCACCAGCATGAAACCCACACCTCAAGAAGTTTATTAAGAAACGGGAGAAAGTGTAGAAGTATGCAGTAAGGCTTGTTTAAGAGCTAGGAGTTATGAGGTATAAAGAGCCGCTGAAGGAATTGAACCTGATGACATTAGAAAAAAAAGAGAGGAACCAGGGGAGACATCATAACATAAAAACACTCTGGGGAATTGATAGGATAGCAAGGAAGAGATTCTTCGACAGACAGGAAACAGGTGCACCTGGAAAGAAACAAGTGTATAATTGACAACCAGCACGGTTTCAGGGAAGGAAAATCCTGTCACAAACCTACTAGAGTTTTATGACAAGGTGACAGAAGTAAGACGAGAGAGAGGGGTGGATCGACTGCGTATTTTTGGACTGCAAGAAGGCTTTCGACACAGTTCCTCACAAGAGGTTACTGCAAAAGCTAGAGGACCAGGCACACATAACAGGAAAGGCACTGCAGTGGATCAGAGAATATCTGACAGGGAGGCAACAACGAGTCATGGTACGTGACGAGGTGTCAGAGTGGGCGCCTGTGACAAGCGGGGTTCCACAGGGGTCAGTCCTAGGACCTGTGCTGTTCTTGGTATACGTGAACGACATAACGGAAGGGATAGACTCAGAAGTGTCCTTGTTTGCAGACGATGTGAAGTTAATGAGAAGAATCGAATCGGACGAGGATCAGGCAGGACTACAAAGAGACCTGGACAGGCTACAAGCCTGGTCAGCAACTGGCTCCTTGAATTTAACCCTGCCAAATGCAAAGTCATGAAGATTGGGGAAGGGCAAAGAAGACCGCAGACACAATATAGTTTAGATGGCCAAAGACTGCAAACCTCACTAAAGGAAAAAGATCTGGGGGTGAGTATAACACCGAGCATATCTCCTGAGGCGCACATCAATCAGATAACTGCTGCAGCATACGGGCGCCTGGCAAACCTACGGATAGCGTTCCGATACCTCAGTAAGGATTCGTTTAAGACTCTGTACACCATCTACGTCAGGCCCATACTGGAGTATGCAGCACCAGTTTGGAATCCACACCTAGTCAAGCACGTCAAGAAATTAGAGAAAGTGCAAAGGTTTGCAACAAGACTAGTCCCAGAGCTAGGGGGATTGTCCTATGAAGAAAGGTTGAGGGAAATCGGCCTGACGACACTGGAGGCCAGGAGGGTCAGGGGAGACATGATAACGACATATAAAATACTGCGCGGAATAGACGAGGTGGACAAAGACGGGATGTTCCAGAGATGGGACACAGACACAAGAGGTCACAATTGGAAGTTGAAGACTCAGATGAATCAAAGGGATGTTAGGAAGTATTTCTTCAGTCATAGAGTAGTCAGGCCATGGAATAGCCTAGAAAGTGATGTGGTGGAGGCAGGAACCATACATAGTTTTAAGGCGAGGTATGATAGAGCTCATGGGGCAGGGAGAGAGAGGACCTAGTAGCAATCAGCGAAGAGGCGGGGCCAGGAGCTGTGACTCGACCCCTGCAACCACAAATAGGTGAGTACAAATAGGTGAGTACACACACACACACACACACACACACACACACACACACACACACACACACACACACACACACACACACACACACACACACACACACACACACACACACACAGCGGAAGTGAACTCTATTCAGGGATTGAAAAGTAGATGTGGCAAGACTCAACCACACCAAAGGTTCACAGGACCAAGAGCTGGAGTTCACCCCTTCCCTTTCCCACACACACCTAAATAGGTAACTTACAAATAGGTAATCACACCTGTTTTTTCAATTCAATTCAATTCAAAGTTTATTCTCTATAAGTATTACAATGCTGAGTTTACAGAATTTGGTTATTGTGTGGTTTATATGTAGTAAAATAATGATTACAGAGTGTACCACTAGAACACCTAGCATGGCTAGGCATTACAGAGTGTACCACTAGAACACCTAGCATGGCTAGGCATTACAGAGTGTACCACTAGAACACCTAGCATGGCTAGGCATTACAGTGTGTACCACTGGAACACCTAGCATGGCTAGGCATTACAGAGTGTACCACTAGAACACCTAGCATGGCTAGGCATTACAGAGTGTACCACTAGAACACCTAGCATGGCTAGGCATTACAGAGTGTACCACTAGAACACCTAGCATGGCTAGGCATTACAGTGTGTACCACTGGAACACCTAGCATGGCTAGGCATTACAGAGTGTACCACTAGAACACCTAGCATGGATAGGCATTACAGAGTGTACCACTAGAACACCTAGCATGGCTAGGCATTACAGAGTGTACCACTAGAACACCTAGCATGGCTAGGCATTACAGAGTGTACCACTAGAACACCTAGCATGGCTAGGCATTACAGAGTGTACCACTAGAACACCTAGCATGGCTAGGCATTACAGAGTGTACCACTAGAACACCTAGCATGGCTAGGCATTACAGAGTGTACCACTAGAACACCTAGCATGGCTAGGCATTTCGGGCAGACTTAGTTTAATTCTTAATTGTAAAATATTACAAATTATGAGGTAAGTTGGTATTATGGCTAAGTGACTAAATACTAGATTGTGAGTTTAACAATGTGAATGCTTTTGTTTTGGCACAGTACATAGTTTCAGGACTAAGACACATGTACAACAGTTGGGTATCTTTACTGCTGAAATTAAACAAAGATGATATAAGTATTTGAGGCGGTCAGTCCCTCAGTCTGGAGAAGAGTTCGACTCATGGTCTGGAACGATCGTTCCATCTTCATTTCATTACTAATTCTGCCTCTGTATTTGACTGAAGACGCCTACTGTGCAGGCGAAACATTTAAACAACAACAATGGGACTTATATCCTAAGCACTTTATTTATTTTGGTAGGGTAGGAACACTGGTGTGACCAGCGGACACGTGTACCCCACCACTGGTGTGACCAGCGGACACGTGTACCCCACCACTGGTGTGACCAGCGGACACGTGTACCCCACCACTGGTACACACTGGCTTTAAATACTCTTAACATTGTACTAGCTTCAGTCATGTGTCCTAACACGCAGTCTTATTATTACTCTCCTCCTTCTTCCCCTTCCTCTCATGTTCTTCTAGTACCCCCCCTTCTCATTGTCTATGTTAGGGAGCTCTGTAAACATAGGCTCCATAGGTAACACTAGTTGGAACACCATCGAACATAGGCTCCATAGGTAACACTAGTTGGAACTCTGTCAGACATAGGCTCCATAGGGTAAGAATGGCTGGAACACTGGAAATGTATACAGGTATAGTGCTGCCTACGCTTGCATATGGGTGTGAGACATGGTCTTTGAATGTTGCACTAAGGAGAATTATTGTAATCACTGGGAAGTCCTAAACCCATACGGGGTCATACAGTGTCTACGTCGAAAAAGAGACTGGGGGTAGTAAAGATGTATCGGTATATTGGTATTTCAACTAAAAAAGGAATGGTTAAGATGACATGGCCATGTAGAAATATTGGAGAGAGTTACTGTAGGTTCAGATGTATAAATCTGGGGTGGAAGGAAGAAAGTGTATACGTATTTATTATGTATGTACGTATTTTTATTATGTATGTACGTATTTTTTTTCATAAAGAATCACAAACACTGATTAGATAGCTACAATGAAGGCTCTCTCTTTTCAAGGGGATGCCTTGACGCTGGTCAAGGTCCTTCAGTCTAAGGAACTAGAGCTGCCTTAAGCTACGATGAATTCTCTTTTGAAAGCGGTGCCTTGTTGCCAGTAAAGGTCTTTCAGTCCATGGAACTAGAGTTGCCTTTAATCAAACCTGATTATTCCCATTTTCCCAGATGTTTTATACCCTTATGGGCGTATATTAGCGCCATTATTAATCTTATTAATTCACACATGGCATACATAATGGTGGCTTCTCCCCTGGCCCGACCATTTCCCACGTGTTTTATACCCGTTTGGGCGTATTACAGCGCCATTATTAATCGTATTAATTCATACAGGACCTACATAATCGTGGCACCTCGTCTGGCCAGACCATCCACTGTATACCGGCTGGTGGTGGGCATCCTCTCAGGGGATGCTGCTGTAGATGTCACCGCTCACTTGATCTCACCAGATGCCAGTTTGGACCCTGCACGTGCCACCATCACCCCGGGGGAGATAGATGACCTTCTCATCCAGGTCATTGTGTTGTGATTTCTTTAAGTCGAGATGTGAGGCATTGTTGCTTGTTTGTAAGTTGAAATGTGACTGTTGTGAGTCGTGTATAAGTCAGGAAGCGATGTGTTGTGAGTCGTGTATAAGTCAGGAAGTAATGTGTTGTGAGTCGTGTATAAGTCAGGAAGTAATGTGTTGTGAGTCGTGTATAAGTCAGGAAGTGATGTGTTGTGAGTCGTGTATAAGTCAGGAAGTGGTGTGCTGTGAGTCGTGTATAAGTCAGGAAGTGATGTGTTGTGAGTCGTGTATAAGTCAGGAAGTGATGTGCTGTGAGTCGTGTATAAGTCAGGAAGTGATGTGTTGTGAGTCGTGTTTAAGTCAGGAAGTGATGTGTTGTGAGTCGTGTATAAGTCAGTAAGTGATGTGTTGTGAGTCGTGTATAAGTCAGTAAGTGATGTGTTGTGAGTCGTGTTTAAGTCAGTAAGTGATGTGTTGTGAGTCATGTATAGAATGACTCACCATGTCTTTGAGTGGTTTAGCACCTCAAGGGAGGCTCTTCGATACTGGTGAGGAGCTTTTGATCCAAGGAATTGCAATTTTCCTTCCATTCCTTGAATTGAACCTGATTACCTTCCTCACTCCTTACAATGCATGACCACTCACACTATTGTTAATGTTTCTGCGTGTGACCTAATATATGTCTAAATAACTTGACCTCATTATTGCTGTAACCAGATATAAACATGTATATGGTTCATTACCACTGTAACTTGCTCAGCTATCAAAACTAACCTAACCTAACCTGACCTAACCTGACCTAACCTGACCTAACCTAACCTAACCTGACCTAACCTGACCTAACCTGACCTAACCTAACCTAACCTGACCTAACCTAACCTAACCTAACCTAACCTAACCTGACCTGACCTGACCTAACCTAACCTAACCTAACCTGACCTGACCTAACCTAACCTAACCTAACCTCACCACACCTCACCTCACCTCACCTGACCTGACCTAACCTAACCTAACCTAACCTCACCTCACCTCACCTCACCTAACCTAACCTAACCTAACCTAACCTAACCTGACCTAACCTGACCTGACCTGACCTAACCTCACCTCACCTGACCTGACCTGACCTGACCTGACCTGACCTAAACCTCACCTCACCTCACCTCACCTAACCTTACCTTAAACCCTTACCTTACCTCACCTCACCTCACCTCACCTAACCAACCTAAACCCTTTCCTTACCTTACCTTAAACCTTACCTTACCTCAAACCCCACCTCACCTAACCTAACCTAACCTTACCTTACCTACACTCACCCACCTCACCTAACCTAACCTAACCAAACTAAACCGAACCTAACCTAACCTAACCTAACCTTACCTTTACCTCACCTCACCTCACCTAACCTAACCTAACCAAACTAACCGAACCTAACCTAACCTAACCTAACCTTACCTTACCTAACCTCACCTCACCTCACCTAACCTAACCTAACCTAACCTAACCTAACCTAACCTAATTTAACCTTACCTTACCTAATACCTAACCTTACCTTACTATACCTTACCTTACCTACCTAACCTTACCTAACCTAACCTAACCTAACCTCACCTCACCTCAAACCTCACCTAACCTAAACCTAAACCCAACCTAACCTCCCTAACCTCACCTCACCTCACCCCACCTACCTTACCTTACCTCACCTCACCTCACCACACCTAACCTTACCTACCTTACCTTACCTACCTTACTTACCTCACCTCACCTCACCTAACCTAACCTAACCTTACCTTACCTTACCTTACCTTACCTCACCTCCCTCCTCACCTCACCTCACCTTACCTAACCTCACCTCACCTCACCTCACCTCACTCACCTCACCTACCTCACCTCACCTCACCTTACCATACCTCACCTCACCTCACCTCACCTCACCTTACCTTACTTTACCTAACCAACCTCACCTCACCTCACCTCACCTAACCTTACTTTACCTTACCTTACCTTACCTTACCTTACCTACCTTACCTCACCTCACCCACCTCACCTCACCTCACCTAACCTTACTTACTTACCTTACCTTACCTGCCTTACCTTACCTAACCTACCTAACCTAACCTAACCTAACCTAACCTAACCTAACCTCACCTAACCTCACCTCACCTCACCTCACCTAACCTCACCTCACCTCACCTCACCTACCTTACCTAACCTCACCTAACCTCACCTCACCTCACACTCACCTCACCTCACCTTACCTTACCTTACCTAACCTAACCTCACCTACACCTCACCTAACCTAACTAACCTAACCTAACCTACCTCACCTCACCTCACCTAACCTCACCTCACCTCACCCACCTACCACCTCACCCACCTCACCTAACCTTACCTACCTTACCTTACCTTACCTTACCCTACCCTACCTAACCTCACCTCACCTCACCTCACCTCACCTCACCTCACCTCACCTCACCTCACCTAACCTCACCTAACCTCACCTCACGTCACCTAACCTAACGTAACCTCACACCTCACCTAACCTAACTAAAATTCCCCATACGGCCTGGTCGCCACCCACATTAATTTATAAATTCACTGTTGTTATCAGTTTGTCATTTGCATCTTTTGTGTTTTACAATAAGTCACTTTAACTTTTTTGGGGGTTGTCCTAGGTAATTTACACTATTTATGATAAGTGTACTTATGTGTACAGTAGGGCCTTGCTTATACAGTAGGTTAGGTGTCAGGCTACTGTAGGGCCCTGTACTTTGTAAATGGTCCAAATTGGACCGAAACGTCGTCGTAAGCTTCTCTCTTTTATGTGCGGGTTATTTGTGTATCGTTCCAGTCACGGTATTGTGCCTTTTTGTTATTTGTAGGGCCCTGCTTATACAGCAGGTTAGGTTCTGGGCTACTGTAGGGCCCTGCTTATACAGGTTAGGTTCCAGGCTACTGTAGGGCCCTGCTTATACAGCAGGTTAGGTTCTGGGCTACTGTAGGGCCCTGCTTATACAGGTTAGGTTCCAGGCTACTGTAGGGCCCTGCTTATACAGCAGGTTAGGTTCCAGGCTACTGTAGGGCCCTGCTTATACAGCAGGTTAGGTTCCAGGCTACTGTAGGGCCCTGCTTATACAGCAGGTTAGGTTCTGGGCTACTGTAGGGCCCTGCTTATACAGGTTAGGTTCCAGGCTACTGTAGGGCCCTGCTTATACAGCAGGTTAGGTTCTGGGCTACTGTAGGGCCCTGCTTATACAGGTTAGGTTCTGGGCTACTGTAGGGCCCTGCTTATACAGCAGGTTAGGTTCGAGGCTACTGTAGGGCCCTGCTTATACAGCAGGTTAGGTTCCAGGCTACTGTAGGGCCCTGCTTATACAGCAGGTTAGGTTCCAGGCTACTGTAGGGCCCTGCTTATACAGCAGGTTAGGTTCGAGGCTACTGTAGGGCCCTGCTTATACAGCAGGTTAGGTTTTGGGCTACTGTAGGGCCCTGCTTATACAGGTTAGGTTACAGGCTACTGTAGGACCCTGCTTCTACAGCAGGTTAGCTTCTGGGCTACTGTAGGGCCCCACTTAAACAGTAGGTTAGTTTCTGTGCTGTTGTATATAAAAGCCTGATAACATGTTTCCACTATCATATATTAAGTGAGCAAGACAGTACACACATTTCTTACCTTAAAAAAAATTTGGTCCATCGCTTATAGGAACAGTGAATATATTTATTGTAGGAAGTCTGAATAAATACAGAATGGGTATACAGTGGACCCCCGGTTAACGATATTTTTTCACTCCAGAAGTATGTTCAGGTGCCAGTACTGACCGAATTTGTTCCCATAAGAAATATTGTGAAGTAGATTAGTCCATTTCAGACCCCCAAACATACACGTACAAACGCACTTACATAAATACACTTACATAATTGGTCGCATTCGGAGGTAATCGTTATGCGGGGGTCCACTGTACTTGAAAACTGCTGTATTAGTGATACACTGTAAAGCAATGCTCTGTAAAATGGAGCCCTACTGTACCTGTGCATGAATAATCTTATTTACTTACAGGTGCCTCATTCCAGTGGAATAAGAACTTACACACTACTGGTGGAGGGCCACCGAGGTCACAACCTGGTGTTCCGTAACACCACCCTGGTTCAAGCCACACCCACCTTCCTCACCATCCTCATACACCTCTCCAGAGTTTGTTTCACCGGTGACCAGGAGGGTCAGTAATTACCATATTTTCCTGCATATAAATCACATGACTGAAGTATCATAATGGTAAATCAGTAATCATATTCACGGGCTAATCACCCTGATACTTTATGCTAGAGCATAACCCAGGGCCTTCCCTTGACCTGACCTTGAGCATACAAGGCACAGAGCGATTTTCCAAGACTTGTGGGAAAAAGATGTGCCTTATATGCCAGAAAATACGATGCCTATAAACAAGCAAATTTTGTTTCTTTGAAGTGGAGCACAGTAAATTATTGCTCTCATTCCTCATGCCCTGTACAACCATTATGAATGTAATAATAATAGAATTTTTGGACTATCTTAAGTAATCTTCAGATACATTAGGATTAGTTTGCCCTAACAATGTTGTATTACATGTAAATTACATTATCTTTGTACCACATAAAAAGAAATAAAAATCTGAATTTGAATTTGACCATGTCTCTCTTTCTTCCCTTCACACCAGTGGGAATACGGATCATTCTGCTGACGACAGATCTCAAGCCTTATGACGAACCCATAGATGTCTTCATTCTGGTAAGCTTTATTAAGGAAATATTAAGATAACTTGAAAAAATGGACTTATCCTCCCCTTCCGTGTGTTTAACCTGTTAGTTTCTTTTTCTCCCTGGCGCTGTATAACTGTTATTAATTTAGAACGTCTTCCTGGAGCTGTATGACCCTTAAGAATTTAGAACTTTTCTGAATATAATACAGTAATAATAACACAGATAATACTATGAGTCTAGGTAGTAGGTTGGTAGACAGCAACCGCTCAGGGAGGTACTACCGTCCTGCCAAGTGAGTGTAAAACGAAAGCCTGTAATTGTTTTACATGATGGTAGGATTGCTGGTGTCCTTTTTTTCTGTCTCATAAACATGCAAGATTTCAGGTACGTCTTGCTACTTCTACTTACACTTAGGTCACACTACACATGCATGTACAAGCATATATATGTATATATACACATCCCTCTGGGTTTTCTTCTATTTTCTTTCTAGTTCTTGTTGTTGTTTATTTCCTCTTATCTCCATGGGGAAGTGGAACAGAATTCTTCCTCCGTAAGCCATGCGTGTTGTAAGAGGCGACTAAAATGCCAGGAGCAAGGGGCTAGTAACCCCTTCTCCCGTATAAATTACTAAATTTAAAAAGAGAAACTTTCGTTTTTCTTTTTGGGCCACCCTGCCTTGGTGGGATACGGCCGGTTTGTTGAAAAAAAAAAAAAATACTATGAGTATCGTGCTAGGTAAATGGACACAGATGCAACTAATGGGACATTTTATTGTGGCAACGTTTCACTCTCCAGGAACTTTGTCAAGCCGTTACAGCTTGACAAAGCTCCTGGAGATCAAAATGTTACCACAGTAAAATGTCCCATTAGTTGCATCTGTGTCCATTTACCTAACATTTGGTCAGTAATTCTAACATTATTACTATGAATATCTTATTACTTATACAGTGGACCCTCGCCTAACGATATTAATCCACTCCTGAGAGCTCAATGGTAGGCGAAATTACCGTTAGCCGAATTAATTTTCCCCATAAGAAATAATGGAAATCAAATTAATCCGTTCCTGACACCCCAAAGTATGAAAAAAAAAAAATTTTACCACATGAAATATTAATTTTAATACACACAAACTGAAGAAGACATGTACAGTTACGTGACACTTACCTTTATTGAAGATCTGGTGATGGAAGGAGGGGAGTGTGTGGATGGTGTTAATGTTTAGAAGGGGAACCCCCTTCCATTAGGACTTGAGGTGTCAAGTCCTTTTCCGGGGTTACTTCCCTTCTTCTTTTAATGCCACTAGGACCAGCTTGAGAGTCACTGGACCTCTGTCGCACAACATATCTGTCCATAGAGCTCTGTACCTCCCGTTCCTTTAAGATTTGTCTAAAATGGGCCATAACATTGTCATTGTAATAGTCACCAGCATGGCTTGCAATAGCTGTGTTAGGGTGATTTTCATCCATAAAGGTTTGCAGTTCAACCCACTTTGCACACATTTCCTTAATTTTTGAAGTAGGCACAATGGATTCCAAAACTGGCATAGGCGTCTCAGGGTTAACCCCAAACCCTTCAAAATCTTTCTTAATTTCCATACTAATTCTCACTCTTTTTATCACAGGGTTGGCACTAGAAGCTTTCTTGGGGCCCATGGTGACTTATTTTACAGGTGTAATCACTAAAAACACTGTGATAATATGAAATGTTCTGATTGTTTGTTTGGATGCGACCGTGTTGGCTGGCTTGTAAACACTGGCACCCACGGGAAAGTAAGGCGTGCTCAGGCCACATGTGGATGCGTCTCGAACGGAACGAATCGCGTTGGGCGAGTTTTTTAGCGCTAGCCGAGGCAAAATTTTTGCGTTAAAATGCATCGCTAGGCGAATTTAACGTTATGCGATGCGTTCGTTAGGCGAGGGTCCACTGTATATTCATGGCCCTTCAAGGGAATTAGTGTTGATAAGTAAAACACATGCAACAATTAGGTATCTTTATTCCGAAATGTTTCGCCTACACAGTAGGCTTCTTCAGTCAAAAACAAAGGAGGCAGAAGAGATGTAGAGATGATGTAATCAGTCCATCACCCTTGAAGACGTAGTCTTGAAGTGGTCAGTCCCTCAGCCTGGAGGATAGTTATGCTTCATAGTCTGGAACAATGTGAGGCTGAAGCATTAGAATGGAGACTTATGTACAGTGGACCCCCGCTTAACGATCACCTCCCAATGCGACCAATTATGTAAGTGTATTTATGTAAGTGCGTTTGTACGTGTATGTTTGGGGGTCTGAAATGGACTAATCTACTTCACAATATTCCTTATGGGAACAAATTTGGTCAGTACTGGCACCTGAACATACTTCTGGAGTGAAAAAATATCGTAAACCGGGGGTCCACTGTACTGTCAAAGGTGAGGCGCAGAAAATCTTGATGATAGAAGAAGAGTAGAATCAAGAATGTAGTCACTGAGAGGCAGTGTAGCAAACCTACTGGGTAGGTCCCTCTCAAATCCATCCTGTCTCACTCATAACTAGTGGACAGGCAATAAAGTTGTAGATGTCCTTTGTACCAAGAGACCAATGTGTTGCAGTGCATCAAATCTGATTGCTTCCTTTCCCAGGCACTATGTGGATTTAACAGTTCTGATTAATAATAATAATTGTAATTTCCATGGGTAAGTGGAGAAGAATCCTTCCTGTGTAAGCTATGTGTGTCATAAGAGGCAACTAAAATTCTGGGAGAAAGGTGCTAGTAACCCCTTCTCCTGTATATAGAATTACTAAATGTAAAGAAAAAAAAAGCTTTTGTTTCTTCATTTTTGGGTCACCCTGCCTTGGTGGGAGACTGCTGGTGTGTTAGAAAAATAAAAAAATAATAGTAATAATAATAATAATAATATTCACAGGGAAGCGCTAAACTCATAGGGGCAGTACAGTACCTAGTGCATACTATGAATATAGTAGCGTAAGTTTGGCATTGTTCATTAAGAAATGTGTTGTAGGGTTGTAATGAGAATTAACATTATTATTACATATATTCATTTGAAACCATTAAACCCCTAGGAATCACACAGTGCCTGGGCAGAGGCAGTCACCTTTGATCCAGTTCCAATTCCTTAGACCAGGAGCCCTTAACCCGTAAACGGTCCAAATGTATATATACGTTTTTTCAATATTTGAAAGTATGTAAAAAAAGTAGATCTATTTTTTTTTTTTTTACATTTGAAAATGTGTAAAAAAAACTTTGATGTACTTTTTTTTGTTATATTTGAAAATATGTAAAAAGAAAAGTAGATCTACTTATGGAGCACCACACATGTGAACGTTGATCTGCTTGGACAGTTTAAGGGTTAACCAGCATCAAGGTACCCCTCCCCCACCCAGGAAGGGGAGGTGTCCATACATTAGAAGCTTTGATTACAGTTTTAATACACGTATAATACAGTTTAAGCTTGCCCGGAATGCCCTGTATAACCATAGGTTTTTAGCATGGCTTCAGGTGGTAAAAATCTATCATGTGGATATATACCTTGAATTTGAACTATGGTACCATTGCATGTTCAAAAGAAAGCCACCTATTATTGTATGTATAGCATTTTGCGAACACTATTTTCAAAGTTTTCATTACTGCTTCATTTTAGTGTTCTGTAATGGAAATATAAACACATATGCAGTATAATGTGATCCTTTATTGACTACATTTCGCCCACACAGTGGGCTTTTTCAAGTTTATATTTCCATTGTGTCGGTATTTTATACCATTTATTTCCACAGTGTTCTGTAATTTTTAAATGTGTTGTATTTATTTTAGGTTGATACCACATGTCTACACACACTTAATTATGCATACAGAAACAAAAACTTGCTTGGTTCTATGGTTATTGGAAATTGAAACAGCACTCTAGAAATTATATTCCCAGTTTTGTTTCACTATAATGTGTGTGTCACATATTTAAAATTTTTAACCTGCTTTAACCTCTCATCTTCCTTCTCTCCTTTCTCTCTCTCTTTTTTTTTTTTACACAGGGTTTGACAAGGTTAAGGATTCCTAGCTTCATGGACAAGCTATTTACAGGTTAAGGATTCCTAACTTTATTGACAAGCTATATTACAGGTTAAGGATTCCTAACTTTATTGACAAGCTAAGAGCTGTTACCTACATCAGCTCATTCGAAAGCATTTTTATTGTTATGAAACATACAAGTATTTTTATTGTTATGAAAGATACAAGTATTTTTATTGTTATGAGACATACAAGTAAGGAAGAGGATGAAGTTGGAGCCATCTGTGGGCCAGCATTTTCATCTGATCAACTGACTTTATCTCGTTGACATCATAATGCTGTACAAATGTGTTCCATACACGAGTCATCCTGGGGATAAATGATCTCAGATGAAGTGATGTTCTGGAGAAGGGTACAGCCAGAGTCAAGTTGCTGCTTTCTGCCCATCTTGTGGTATAGAAGCTTGCTTTACACTGTCCTCAAAGTGGATCCAAGTGTGGTACTTTGATAATATTGGCCTTGTACATAACAGTAAGGCCACCCACATCCCTTCTGTGTTGAAGGCTCTGCTGAAATGACAGATCTATCCAGGATGGGTCCAGGCGAGAGATGAGACGTCTTGCTCTGTTCTCTACTCTATCAAGCAGTCGCAGATGAGAAGGGGGGCAGGCAAACCAAGAAAGTGGAGCATACTCAAGGTGTGAGCGTACTTGTGCCTCATACAAAATCTTGCAACCCCTACTGTCAAGGAGATGCGAGATACGGCAAAGTGTTGTAAGCTTCCTGTCTGCCTTGTTTGCAAGATTTACAACATGGTTCTTCATGGTTAGTTTGGAGTCAAATTTCACCCCAAGGATATCAACTTCTTCCCCAGGTGCCAACACCCTCCCATTCATCCTTACTACTGCACCAGCATTACCATCATGGTACCTGGAGATCATCATCATTTGTGTTTTCTCAGGTGCAAATGTTACTTGCCATCTATTTCCCCAAGCT